GTTAGTGGCAAGGCTCCAGAATGTTGGGCCACTGAACTCATGCTACCACTTCATAATCTGCTTCTACCCAGAAGAACAGAATAATTCAAAACAAAAGCTGTGTACAAAAAAGTACATCACAATAAAAAAAAATGAGCCCAGCTGGCTGGGCTGGCTACCTAGTGACAGATCCCTTCGCAAAAGCAAAAAGAAAGAAAAAGAGTCAAGTGTACAGACAAGTGAGGGTAAAGTGTTACTTTAAAAGCCAATCCCTGGATTTCCAGTCATTCGCCTTCTGCTTTAAATCTTAATGGGTTTCTGACTCACTGGGCTGCGTAACAGCAGCCAATTTAGTGTCTGATTTTGGGTGATGTAGATCAGTCTTCTCTTTACAATTCATCCTTTTGGATTTTCTGCTCATCATCATCACCTTCCTCAAGGTCTGTTTCTTCATCTGTCTCCAGGTCCTCCAGATCCTGTATAGGTTACAAAGACAGCTACTAGTTTCTGGCACATTAGGCAGATCCAAAACCAAGCACAGAACAGCATCTCTAACCTGTTTGCTATTCTCTGCTGCCATGTTAACAGAACAGCCAGAGACTTTTACCAAGAGCTCTGAATTTGGGACATTAAGGATTAGAAACCCCTGGAAGCTGGTACCTGCACCTGTAATGCCCTCCACCCCAGCAGGTGAGGAGCTTCCAACTAGGTATACTGCACATGTAATGCTCATCATCCTGCTTGAGTTCCAGGTGCTGAGCAGGAGTTATCAATAAAGAACAAGCCCTTTAAGTACTCCAACAGTTTGTACAACAACCAGAGACAGCCTGGGCAAATTTAGGGGTTATAATATCAGTTTCCACACATTTGTGTTTAAGCCTCCCAAGAACATTTATTTCACACCCAAAGTGTTCTCAATAAAAAGGAGTCCATTACAGGCCAGTGGCCAGCCAGGCTGCAACTGAACAGGTCACATTTTATGATGTGGGCACTTTTGTTCACCAACAACATCCTTTTTGCCACATAACAACCCGGGTTCTTATTTAGGACTGAGGATTCAAGCGCAGCACTAGATCCAACCTACACTCTATATCCCGAAGGCCCAGAGTACTCTATTAATATTACTCACATCATCAGCTGCTGCCCCATCCTGACCTCCACTCTCCAAGAATTTTTTGAAGCCTTCTAGTGTCCTCTCCCCATTATAGTCAATTACCTACACAGGAAAAAACATCAAGATAATGGTTATGGGCACCTACAGAACCACACCCCTGGAGAGGAGAATTCTATTTCTGAGCAACAGTTAACATGCCAAGCAAAAGGGAATTTAAAAATTCACCTTCACCCATATGAGACGAAGGAAAACAGCTCGGCCACTAGACTTCAGAGATCACTGCGAGGAAAGAATAGCCTGCAGATGAGCACACTGTCCTCTGCTATGCTCCCTCTTCTCCCCATTCCCACTTCCCACCCCCACCAAACTCTTTCCTACAGCCCAGCCCCCCACAAAGGGTCTCAGATGTCCTGTAGACTTGATGTGTTCCATCCCTACAGAATGGAGAGCCCTCCCAAAGGCCTTGTCCAAAACAGAACTCAAGCAGGCAACTAAGCATTTCTAGTGCTCCCTTGTTACGTGATCTGTATGAAGGTCATCTGCCTTCTTACATTTCTGCCAGAGCCTGCAGGGAAGAACTTGAGTGTGGGGAAGCTGTGGATTTTCACTGCCTCCACTTCATTGGCTGTCGAATCCATCTTGGCAATGACAACATTCTCATGGTCCCTGTAGGTCTCTCCCAGCTTGTCCCAGATAGGAGCCAGCTGCTTACAGTGACCACACCAGGGGGCATCTGTTAATTAGAAAAACATAGCTAGCACCACCAACCTAACAAGTTACTACCACCACCACTCCCCCACAGCCCCCATGAGAGCCAGACAGTTCACACACATCTTTTCAACTAAGGCACCCCCTTTGTGGCTTAGATTCTCCAAGATGCTTTCTCCCTAATCCTGGTCATGCAGTATTTTGGCACTCCTTTCATGCCAGTTACTCAGAATCAGCTGTTGAAAGATACTTACAGAACTCTACAAAGACATTCTTATTCTCATCAAAAGCAACTTCTTCAAAGTTCTTCCCAACTAGAACTTTGACAGGCTGCTTGTCCCAGTCTTCGGGAAGATCTTGACTCATCAGGTGGGGCTGGAATAAGAAGCAACATTCTGAGATATGGTTTGCTACACAGCTGCTTGGAATGTACATGCAATCACACATCCTGGAAAACCCAAGATTAACCACCTCCCTCAGTGCCTCAATCATAGGCTGTGAGCAGTCAGATGAATCAGCTGCTTCTTCTGCTTACAGAAAGTCTCCTTCCCACTGTGAACAAGTGGGAATAAGAGGTGCTCTTGTGCAGAGAGAACTGCAGTTCAGCTCTGTAGGAAGGAAACAATATTGCTGACTGTTTCATTCCCAGAGGACTGAGTTTAGCTAAACAGTCGCTACTGGAGTAAGTTGCATATGGCTACCTCCAGCAGATTAGAGCCCACAGACTCTTTAAGCTGTGCCACACAAGTTCACACCTTCCACAGACTGGCAGAAAGAGCAACTGGACAAACAGCAGTTACCATAAGCAGCAGAAAGAGCAGGCTCTGATTGTACTCAGGCACCAGTACAGAGCTTGCTTTCCTACAGTCTTCATGCCCCAGTAGTTTTGCCTTTCATTTCTCAGCACAAAGCCCGCTAGATATTCTGTACATTAGTTGGAAGGATTTTCTCCAGATGACTCGCACAACTCCTCACAAAGAGGACTTTTTTAATCTTGCTTGGCCAGTAGGTTTAGCCACCAGCAGCATTTATCTTCGTTACCTTGATCTTGCCCTCCAGGAACTTATTACAGAACTCTTTGATCTTGTCTGCTGTGAGGTCATCTGATTCAGGTTTGTATTTGGTCATTTCCTCCTCCAGTGTGATAAGACGTACAGCTGGACATTCTTCTTTCTTTAGACCAAAAAACTCCAAAATCCTCTGGTTGTCACTGTGGTCACTGTCTATGAAGATGAACAGGATCTTTGGAGGAAAAAGTCAAAGGCAGTATGGTGAAGACAAGTACCTCTTTGCTGTCAATACTTTACACACACACTTGCATGGGTAGTAGCTGAACTGGCCCCTCTTCCTCCTCCAAGCCCATTAAGAGGCCACCCTGTCAGAGCACAGACGCTGGAGCCGCAACAGTTCAAGCAGCATGCGCACAGACCTGGCACTGGTGTTGATTAAGGCAGAGTCAGATTTACATCCGCAAGAAGGAAAGTCAGGAGTTAACTGCTATTCCTTCAACAGTTGTGCAAGCCAGTAAGTGACTCAGTCACCTATTATCAAGAGACACAGGTAGAGAGAGCTAGCTTCAAGTCCTCCTCCACAGCTGGTAAGTGGATATAGACAGTACTACACTTCTCTGCAGGAGGTGGTCACTTAATTCATAATCCAAAAAATCCATCTCACCTTCCCTTTGAAGTTTCCAGCTGCACTCTTGAAGTTGTCCAGTTTCTGTTGATAGTCAGACACACTTTTTGGTAGGAACAGCAGAATATGAGTCTTGATCTCTCCTCCAAAGATTTTAGGAGCAGTCTGAGGAGTAGAAAATAAACTTTATTTTTGGAAGAGAGATAGATCAGTGTCAAGACCAGCTTGGCTCTGCTGTTCTGACCAGCCCACAGGAGCCTCCAATACTACAGGACTGCTTTGAACAGCAGGCTCATGCCTCCTTTCCCTTGTGTTCTTCACACTTCTCCATAAGCCCAAGCTAGTGTCAGCTCCCAGATAAAACATGACCACACAACCTACAATCTAAGCTTTGTTATATTCATACAGTAGCTACAGGAAGAGGCCTTACCAACTATCTACAGACCTACCTGTTCAGTGAACTCTATGACCAGAGGCAATGCATTAGACTTGATGAAGTTCAGTAAGTTGTCTTTTGTGAGATCCCCTTCAAAGTTGTTACGGCCTTCATCAAACTGCAAAACCAGACATTCTTGCATTAGAACACTTCCACATCCCATAGAAATCTTTCAAGAAATAAGATACATTCACACCAGAGTCACTGCCCCAATGGATCTCAGCTGCACTTGTTCAGAGCAGACTCCCGTCTCTCAACCAGGTCACCACATGTTCACATAAAGTCTGGATCAAGGGGCTCATCTTCCTGGCAAGCAAAGCCTTAAATTGCCCCCAGCAGCAAAAGGTGAGCAGCAACAAGACAGTCAACTTGGATCTTGGCATTGTTCTGCATGATCACAAAACAGTTTGTGAAGCAGGTCACCAAGAAGGACTTTTAACAGCTGCCTTACAGCTTTGTAGAGGGCATTAGGCAGACCAGCAAGAAGCTACCAGAGCACAGGCAGCTTTCTGCTCTGCAGGAATTAGCAGCATCAGAGCAGACACACACACACTTTAACCAGACAGCACTATGAAAGAAGTCTGACAGCACAGCCCCCTATGCACTGCGAGTAAATAGTAATTTACTCAGCTCTGCAGGGTTGTTTCAGTCTCTATTGTTAGAGACAACAGCACATGTTTAACACACACATCACACTAGAGGTGCCAGATCCCTTTTTATATTGGGACATCACCTGTATCCCTGACCGGGATTCTCAGAACCCTCTCTGGCAGCCTGGAAAGGGAACAGCTGTAGGGGACCATCAAGGTTAAAAAGAGGATGTGTGGGAAAGCGCAGCAGTCCCGTGGCAGGGCAATGCTCGAGTTACTGGCAGAAGCAAGACAGTGGACTCAGATAACCATCTGTTAGAGGAAGCATACCAGTCTGAGCTGAAAAGCTGTGCAAAACACTTAACATTGGAAATTAACTTTGTAAATACTTTGAAAAGTATCAAACATCGCCTTAGGGCCTTCGGAACAGTTGTTCAAGGTCTTTGCAAGTCTGGACAACTCACACAAAGAATAAGATGAGAATGACTCAACAAACCCTCTCAGTTTAGACCCAACTAACTGCAGGAAGCCCAGCCAAAGTCCAAACACATAACTGTTGGTAAAATAAACCACCTGATTTCTTATGACCTGGTATCTGGTTACCATTGGTGCTCACTTTCACCTTAGTTTGGAGTGGACATATTTGAGAGCTCTCGTGGCACTACCATGACATTGCACCGGAACAGGAACACAGAGACAACATTCACAGGCTGAAAGGCATCTCATCTTCTTTATTCCATGTAGAGCAGAGCACTTCTGCAGCATCCCAGCCCTCCAGCGGCTCAAGAACAGCCTTTCAGACCAAGGTTCCTCCCACTCCTAACACCTGACAGAAGCTGCCAGGGGCAGAATTGCTTTTCATTCCAGACGTACCCAAGTTGACTACGCTTATGGAAACAGCTTGAAAATTCCTTTACTGTTAAAAGCTGGTCCTGCCATTGCCCCAGTTCTTCACAAGCTGAGGAAAGCTTAACAGAGCTCACAGGACTTAAGAGTACATCCGATCAAATCAACACAAGCCCATTCTATAGAGCACCAAACATGAGAAGATGTACAGGTAACTAAGCAAAACCCAGGGTAGTAACTTGTCAGTGCTGGAAGCCCTAGCTGTAACCTGGCCACTTTAGAGCAATCTCGTACGCTGCCCTGCTCAGAGCCCGATGCTGGTACTCCCCACAGCCCCAGAGAGATGGTCCATTTGAGAGGAGCATTTCTATTTGGGCTTCAGCATTTCCCAAAGAACATAAACAAAAGTTGAGAAAACCCCTGCAAACAGCTATTTCAGCCTAGCATTAGCTATGACTAGGGCAAACAGGAAGATTACATACAGAAAGCTATACATGCGAGAAGAGCAAGATACAGGTATTAAGTCAGCCAAGAACAAAACACCGCTCCCTTCATCCCCCCCAACTTTTCTAGTTGCAAAACCCTAGCATTTTGCTCATTAGCCAGATAATTTACTGATCCGAGTGAACTGTGACTGAGAATTTAAGTCTACAAGCTTCTAGCACCATAAAAATAACTACATTTTCAGAGACACAGTGGAATAAAATATGCTATTTTAGCTGAACAAAGAATGAAATAAGAATTCATTCAACTCTTTAGCCTATCTCAGGTCAGACCAATGACTGATTAGATTACAGATTTAGTAAGTCTGAACCCAAAGCAGCTTTCTGTCCTGCCTCACCACATCCATGCACACAGTACCACCAAGTCTAAGGAATCTCTACTTGTCTTCTCAAACCTAGAACTTCATCCCAGTGGCTTGGATTTTAATAGTAAAAGGCATCAGTAAGTTTATTTCTGATTCTGTAGATGGCCAGCATCCCTCTGCAGGTAATCCAACTGCCCCAGCCTAGTCAGCTGGAACTGTAAATCCTCTTAGGAACTTTGCTAGGATCACTGCTGCAGAATCCACAGCAGCACAACAGACAGAACACCACAGCTGTCAACCAACTACAGCAGAGGTCAATACTGAGTACATTTAAAAGCAACTTTGCTAAGCCACAATCAAAACACACAGCATCATGACAAGCCATCAAGAACTTGGCTACCATTCTGCTTAAGACCTTCAAAGTTCAGAGAGAGGCACAGGAGGCCTCACTAGTTACAGCCATGAATATTTTAAAGATTGCGCTGACCATTACTGCACTGCAGCCAGTTATCTGGAAAACAGGGAAGTGAGTGAAGCAACAGCTTAGACCCAAAGCCCAGCAGCTCTGGGAGGGCAGCGTGGCCAGGAGACCTGAGGCCACCGTCTGCTGACTGCAGGCCTCTCCACTACTAGCAGTGCCCTGCAAAGGGACCTGGGGCTCTGCCACACCAAAAACGGTCTGCAGGCTCTGCTCTTCTCCCTGCCAGGCTCTGAGGCTTGGAAACAGCCAGACTGACAGCACAGGATCTTCTGCTGTTTTGTTCAGGGTTGCCCTCATTTGAATCTGACTAGCTAGAGAAAAGGTAAGAAGAGGCAGAAGATTCAAGTGTGGTGCTCATGCTTTGCACCAACCAGTACCTTCTTGAAGAGGACCACGCCATCCCTGCTAAGCTGGTACTTGGTGAAGACATCAGCACTGGAGGAAATCCCAAAAGGAATGTCATCCACAGCTTCTGCTGCCAACAAGAACTCCTTTGCAGCCTCTGATGTCAAATCCTGGATAATAAAGAAAGATGTCTCACATGGGACACATCAAACTGAAGCATAAACATCCCACGGCTTACCAGCCAGAGAACTGGAAGATCAAGTAAGGCAGGACAGCAAGTGTTTCACAACTTACAGAGAGCCTTCCCCAGCTGTCAGGTCCCCATGGGGCAGAAAGCAGGGAAGGCCCCAGACATACACAAGAGCTTCTCAAATGGAAGCACAAACTCTACCTTAAAGAAACCAATCACAACCACTTCACTGGAGTCCACCAATGTCTCTGCTGCAGCAGCATCTGTCAGGGTAGTTGCAGCTGGGCCAGTGCGTTTCTTCAGCCAGCTGACAATATCATCTGCTTCTCTGCCAGCTACAACAGAAAGATAAGAACACCAATTGGCTTTTTCCCCTCAACTAAGAACGCACAACCCCTAAGCTTTGAGATAGGCTGTTCAGGAACTAGCTGAGAGGTCGGGAAGAATTGAGATACTGTTTACGCAACTCTTCTCCTTTCACTCCTAGTGTAATTAAGCCAATCCCTAATTGTTAAGTCAAGGTACAAGGGGCTCCCAGGAATCCATTCGTCCCCTGCTTCTAGTCCAAGCACGTTCTTAAACTTTGACCAGCAATGCAGCACTCCTCCAAGATGCCAATATTTTTCATGCAAATATATCTCCTTTTCCTTTCCAAATCAGCATTCTGGATGTTACCCTCAGCATCCAGCACAACATGACTTGGTTTAGCTGAGTTCTGCTTGTCTTGGTCTTCCTTGCACCTCTGCCTTACACCTTGTGTTTGCCCCTTCACCCAACCGCCCAAGCATTTTTGTCAACTCTGGGCACTACATTGCTCAAGTAAAGTCAAGCCAAGCAACAAATCAAGCTGGTATTGCTTTGCTTTCCTACACAGAAACAATTGTATCTGCTTTAGCTGATATTCGGGATTGTCCCAGCTTTAGGTGAGAAAGCCTGTTAGAGGCAGACTTGTTCCTCAACACCCCAAGCACACCCGCAGCAGCGTTGCTCCGCAACCTGGGTCGCTGTCACAGTGGACCTTGTCC